GCCCTCTAGTGGTTAAATCGTGTAATGTTTACGATTCATTAAATGATGTAACACTGATGTAACACTGCTCCGGTCTGTCTTTGTTCATCCTGCATCGCTCTGCATTCTGTTCTTTAATGTAACGTTACTGGAGCGACGGAGCCTCTCCCAGGTGTTAGCAGACTGTTGTGCTAGCAAGCAGGCTCGATCGCGAGCTGTACCCAGCATGCAGTTCGGCGGTGAAATTTTATAAATGTACAATTATTAGTGTTACAAATTGTTTATGTGTCACAGACTGTTGTGTGCTGTTGTGTTTTTCTCTGTTAAAGAGCATTAGTTGTGGGTTGTTAATTGTTCCCTCTCAATACATATAAGACAACTAGCGCTGACCTGGCCTGGTCAAAACCTGGGCTGTTGAAAGCAGACAGCAGTTGTTTTGGCTATGCACCGGTATAATGGTGTGTGAAAAATTCATATCATACGGGAAATTAAAACCGGTATACTGCCCAGCTCTAGTCTTTATTATAGTTTGGACAATTTTGTACCAATATTTGACGGGCCGGATTAAAAAGCCCAACGGCCGTAGTTTGCCCATGCCTGGGCTAGCGGCTAGCTGAGTGTCTTTTTCTGCTTATTGTAGCTGAAACTGACTGACGCATTACCGCCACCAGGTGGTGGGAAGCTATATTGTAACTGATCGTCTCATGGAGAACTAATATCTCTGGTGTCTTCAATTGATAACCTATGCGGTCCCGCGGTCCCGCGGCCCTCGCGGCCCACAGGTGCAAAACTGAAAGTTTTTTGCGGCCCTCTAGGTGGCGTTCGCGGCCCCATGGTTAAGAATCACTCTTCTAGTCGAATAGCTGAAATGAGAAAAGCAAGTTGGCTAAAAATCAGGACATGGAGCAGATATAAATAGGTAATTGCTGTATAAACTAGTCAGATAATGATGCAGTATATTAAAGGATTGTCTGAACACAGTCAGGAGATGATGTTCAACCATGCTCTCATCCACTTTATGAAATAAAAGGGGTTAGATGCCCTGAAAGATGTATTAATAACGGAATAATAATATGATACTACATATTTCTGACCAGCAGGTGGCGATAATACGTATTAAACGTTGTTAGAGGACAAGAAGAAGAACGAAGAAGAAGAACGGAAAAATAAGTTTAACAAGCTAGCTGACTGATGAATGCTACATATATACACTCATTTCCTTTTCTTCAATGTTACTGGACTCATTAAGCGGGTTTCAAACATCTAGTAACAATAGTTAGAAAAACATTCAGCCCCATACTTCGATAAGTAGGTGGCGGTATAATACGTAGAGTTGTTTGCTAGCTGGTAGGGAGAGAAGAAGAAGAAGAAGAAGAAGCAAAAGAAGAAGCATGGCTGCTGACATGAGATTACCAACTATTCAGAAACCAGTGTCGTTATCGGTTTCTGCTTTTGACCGAAAAGATCTGGTCGTCCCCGGTGATGTTATCACTTCAGACACCGGCTTCATGAGGTAGGCGTTTGGTGGAGCTGTTTACTAATTTATGAGAGATCCACACGTTATGTCTGGTGTAAGTTACCATCAACAGTGATAAAGTGTAAATCCTCCCACCTTTTAAAGCTCACATACAATAAATAATGCGAGTTAAAATGTGATAAGGACTGAACAAGAACAAAATAATAAGTTAAATCATTTAAAATGGTGTCCGTGATGTCTGTGCTTGGTGGTGGTCACCCAGCGTTTGCTTTGGTACATTCCTGTTTCGCTCATCATTGGTACTCACCATTTATCCTCAGGGGTCATGGTACCTATGTTGATGATGACAAGCTGACGGCTTCAGTGGCTGGAGAGGTGCAGAGAGTAAACAAGCTGATCTGTGTCAGACCACTTAAGACCAGGTAAGGGATTTAAATTCAAGCTGAAATAACCCATGCATGTTTTATGTACTTATGATACGTTGTGTAAATATAATTTTGTGTTGTGTTATTGATTTGCAGGTTCAACGGTGAGGTTGGAGATGTGGTGGTTGGCAGAGTCACAGAGGTAAAGCACTGCCGCCACATCTCTTCATCACATTTTTAAATGTATCTTAAGCTGTTGACATTTTTATCAACATGGGTGGTTTCTTTGTGATATGTACAGGTACAACAGAAAAGGTGGAAGGTGGAGACCAACTCCCGGCTGGACTCCGTCCTCTTGTTGTCTTCTGTCAATCTGCCTGGAGGAGAGCTGGTGAGATGCTAGAAAACGTGATTCACTGGAAGAAGTGTTCAATGTGCCAAGCTGTTAGCTGAGCTAGCATTATCCTAAAGGATAAGGAAATGGGTTTG